CCACCACATCTTCTAAAAACAATGTGTTACTCTGTGTGGAAATAGCAATCCAATTGCAGGGCTAGACATTAAAGCTTATCCGGGACAAGTGAAAAGAAAATAGTCGGGCAAACAAAATATAGTTTTAAGTTGTCCGAATGGACAAGTGCATTTAAAAATTAAAAATCACAAAATCAAACAATTACTCCGATAAGAATTGGATGCGATGTGTTGCACACTGTTCTCACTATCTCTGCAGAGTCCATCAGAATACAGTGGTGAAAAAAAGTATTTAGTCAGCCACCAATTGTGCAAGTTCTCCCACTTAAAAAGATGAGAGAGGCCTGTAATTTTCATCATAGGTACACGTCAACTATGACAAAATGAGAAAAGAAAATCCAGAAAATCACATTCTAGGATTTTTAATGAATTTATTTACAAATTATGGTGGAAAATAAGTATTTGGTCACCTACAAACAAGCAAGATTTCTGGCTCTCACAGACCTGTAACTTCTTCTTTAAGAGGCTCCTCTGTCCTCCACTCGTTACCTGTATTAATGGCACCTGTTTGAACTTGTTATCAGTATAAAAGACACCTGTCCACAACCTCAAACAGTCACACTCCAAACTCCACTATGGCCAAGACCAAAGAGCTGTCAAAGGACACCAGAAACAAAATTGTAGACCTGCACCAGGCTGGGAAGACTGAATCTGCAATAGGTAAGCAGCTTGGTTTGAAGAAATCAACTGTGGGAGCAATTATTATGAAATGGAAGACATACAAGACCACTGATAATCTCCCTCGATCTGGGGCTCCACGCAAGATCTCACCCCGTGGGGTCAAAATGATCACAAGAACGGTGAGCAAAAATCCCAGAACCACACGGGGGGACCTAGTGAATGACCTGCAGAGAGCTGGGACCAAAGTAACAAAGCCTACCATCAATAACACACTACGCCGCCAGGGACTCAAATCCTGCAGTGCCAGACGTGACCCCTGCTTAAGCCAGTACATGTCCAGGCCCGTCTGAAGTTTGCTATAGTGCATTTGGATGATCCAGAAGAGGATTGGGAGAATGTCATATGGTCAGATGAAACCAAAATATAACTTTTTGGTAAAAACTCAACTCGTCGTGTTTGGAGGACAAAGAATGCTGAGTTGCATCCAAAGAACACCATACCTACTGTGAAGCATGGGGGTGGAAACATCATGCTTTGGGGCTGTTTTTCTGCAAAGGGACCAGGACGACTGATCCGTGTAAAGGAAAGAATGAAAGGGGCCATATATCGTGAGATTTTGAGTGAAAACCTCCTTCCATCAGCAAGGGCATTGAAGATGAAACGTGGCTGGGTCTTTCAGCATGACAATGATCCCAAACACACCGCTCGGGCAACGAAGGAGTTGCTTCGTAAGAAGCATTTCAAGGTCCTGGAGTGGCCTAGCCAGTCTCCAGATCTCAACCCCATAGAAAATCTTTGGAGGGTGTTGAAAGTCCGTGTTGCCCAGCGACAGCCCCAAAACTTCACTGCTCTAGAGGAGATCTGCATGGAGGAATGGGCCAAAATACCAGCAACAGTGTGTGAAAACCTTGTGAAGACTTACAGAAAACGTTTGACCTGTGTCATTGCCAACAAAGGGTATATAACAAAGTATTGAGAAACTTTTGTTATTGACCAAATACTTATTTTCCACCATAATTTGCAAATAAATTCATTAAAAATCCTACAATGTGATTTTCTGGATTTTTTTTCTCATTTTGTCTGTCATAGTTGACGTGTACCTATGATGAAAATTACAGGCCTCTCTCATCTTTTTAAGTGGGAGAACTTGCACAATTGGTGGCTGACAAAATATTTTTTTCCCCCACTGTATATGATTATATTGCATTGAGAGGCACGAGCGGTCTTTCAATCACATGTAGCCACGTGTGCACATTTGTTGATATTCCTTGTTACAGCAGATGCGTTTATATTTTTGTTCAGTGAATATATACAGTGCATTTGGAAAGTATTCAGACCCTTGGACTTTTTCCACATTTTGTTACGTTACAGACTTATTCTGAAATGGATTAAATTGTCTTTTTTTCCCTCATCAATCTACACACAATACCCCATAATTAACTGGTTTTTAGAAATGTTTGCTAATTTTTTCCAAATAAAAATCTGATATTTCACATTTACATAAGTATTCAGACCCTTTACTCAGTATTTTGTTGAAGCACCAATGGCAGCAATTACAGCCTCGAGTATACTTGGGTATGATGCTACAAGCTTGGCACACCTGTATTTGGGAAGTTTCTCCCATTCTTCTCTGCAGATCCTCTCAAGCTCTGTCAGTTTGGATGGCGAGGGTCGCTGTATAGCTATTTTCAGGTTTCTCCAGAGATGTTCAATCGGGTTCAAGCCCGGGCTCTGGCTGAGCAATTCAAGGACATTGACAGACTTGTCCCTAAGCCACTCCCGCGTTGTCTTGACTTTGTGCTTAGGGTTGTTGTCCTGTTGGAAGGTGAACCTTCGCCCCAGTCTGAGGTCCTGAGCACTCTGGAGCAGGTTTTCATCAAGGACCTCTCGGTACTTTGCTCAGTTAATCTTTCCTTCAAACCTGACTAGTCTCCCAGTCCCTGCTGCTGAAAAACATCCCCAAAGCATGATGTTGCCACCACCATGCTTCACCATAGGGATGGTGCCAGGTTTCCTTCAAGCCAAAGAGTTCAAACTTGGTTTCATCAGACCAGAGAATCTTGTTTCTGAGGAGTGGCTTCTGTCTCTCTACCATTAAGGCCTGATTGGTGGAGTTCTGCAGAGATGGTTGTCCTTCTGGAAGGTTCTCCCAACTCAACAGTGGATCTCTGGAGCCCTGTCAGAGTGACCATCGGGTTCTTGGTCACCTCCCTGACCAAGGCCCTTCTCCCCCGATTGCTCAGTTTGGCCGGGGCGGCCAGCTCTAGGAAGAGTCTTGGTGGTTCCAAATTTCTTTCATTTAAGAACGATAGAGGCCACTGTGTTCTTGGGAGCTTCAAAGCTGCAGACATTTTTTGATACCCTTCCCCAGATCTGTGCCTCGACACAATCCTGTCTCGGAGCGCTACGGACAATTCCTTCAACCTCATTGCTTGGTTTTTGCTCTGATATACACTGTCAACTGTGGGACCTTACAGCTTCGGAGGAAGTCGTGACAAATTCCAGGTTGTAAGGCAACAAAATAGGAAAAACGCCAAGGGGGATGAATACTTTTGCAAGCCACTGTATATAGACAGGTGTGTGCCTTTCCAAATCATGTACAATCAATTGAATTTACCACAGGTGTACTCCAATCAAGTTGTGGAAACATATCAAGGATGATCAATGGAAACAGGATGCACCTGAGCAAAATTTTTAGTCGCATAGCAAAGTGTCTGAATACTTATGTAAGTAAGGTATTTCTGTTGTATTTTTTCAATACATTTGCACAAATTTCTAAAAACCTGTTTTCGCTTTTTCATTATGGGATATTGTGTGTAGATTGATGAGGAATATTATTACTATTTTTAAATCCATTTTAGAGTAAGGCTGTAACGTAAGTGTATTTAGTGAGTTATTTGCTCAATTATAGCACATTTTTTGTCGGTAAACAGGGTTCGTACGGTCATGAAACGTCAAGGGAGCAACATCAAAAATGTAACTGTGTGTCAAACAGTTTTTCAAACAACTGTTGTTAAAGAGAGTGGAGTTTCAGCTATCTGTGAGTTTAACACATATTTCATAACACTAAATATTAAGGAAATACTACCACTTTACAAACAGAGAATGTAGTAAGATGATGCACTAGTGGAACGGAGCGGAGCACACTGTTTGTAGTGAATATATAGTCTATATAGGTCTACCAATGGACAAATTGTGTTGGACATTACATTCACTGTTAGATCAATTACATGGCTATCTAGCAACAATATCATATTTAGGGTTAGCAATCTAGCTAATGTGTTTTGAGTTCCTACTTCCTCATCAGGTGGTGAATGATGTAGCATAAAGCCTAGGCCAATATGCATAAAGAAGATGAATCTCTAAAGAGCAAAAAAGAAATCTGATCATTCTGGATCCTATTTTGACGTGTTGCACATCAAAATATCCATGATGCATTCCCTGCACATGTTAGAAATAGCTAACTTAGCTAGGCTGTCTAGAGCCCTGAAGGAAAGTAGGCCTAACTGTGCATTAACTAACTCCGTACATATTACCCAGCTCTAGACAGATGGTAGTCTACATTTTTGTCTCATTCTCTGTATGGCAATAATAATGATACTTAATGAATTTCATTTTGCAAAGTGTCTTCTTGCATTATACAACACAATTTTGACTTGAGGTTTTTACACAAGTCCCAAAAAAAATCTCTCCTACTTTTCCAAAGGACAAGTGTGTAAAAAAGTTAATGTCAAGCCCTGAATTGTAATAAATGCAATAAGCATTTCAATGGCTGCAGTACTACAGTAATACCATAGACATTCAAGCGGCAATCAGACGTTGAAACAATAAGAAAGCGCTTCCCCGCCCCTGTTTTGGAAAAAGCTGAGGGATGGGGCTGGAGAATTGTTACCACTCTCAAATTCATAGACATAGCTATGGATGCAAGGACAGAACATCCATGATATCAACATTATACTTTTAACCATGTTTTGAGGCTATATAGTGTTTGTTTACATTTACTTTGTAAAACAAGCTTATATTTTGGGTTATGATCGGGTAAGGCAGTTGAACTAAGCTCCTGAGGCATTTATAAGTTATGTTCTTCAAGAATACATATCATTAATTCATAAGTCCAACAATGGGGGTAGCAACTTTAGATTGCCCCTTTAAACTTACCTTTGCCCTTGATGGTCTTATCCCACTCTCCGTTGTTACAAGTTGCAAGGCATCCATACTCTATTTGGTCCCCATTTTCATTAAATCTTTTTTTTAAAACCTTTTTGAATAGGTGATGTTCATAATAAAGTAACTATAAACTGGATTACTGCATCAGTTTCAAACAGTTATCAATACTTACGTTTGCATGTTGGTGGTGGTGGTGTCCAATTCCCATTTTCGCAAGTAATTTCTTGAAGTCCCTCTATTTCAAAGGTCTTGCGACATTCATAATTCACATCAAATCCCTCTATGTATTCATTTTGGTACGGGATTTTAACAATTGCATTTTCAACTTTAGGTGGAGGATCACATGGAACGCCTTGCGCTTCAGGAGAAGAAAATATTGATGTAAGATTAGTGGGTAGAAAACATACACACAGTACAGATACAGAACAACTACCTGTCTATTTACGTAATATCATACGGGCTTCTGGGGCTTTTCCCCCAAACTATTAAAACATATAGTAAACATACAGTAAAGGATGACTGGCCTCTGCATACAAGTCAAATCAAGTGATTATTTCAAATGTACGAAACTATTAACAACTACTCACGTTTACAAGCTGGTAACGGTGCTTGCCATTCTCCATTCTTACATTGTATTTTCATATTTTTAGATGAGTATCCATCTTTGCAATGAATTTGAACAGTTTCTCGATTGTTATAGACTTCATGGTGAGTTACCTTAATCGTTTTGGGAATGACAGGGATTTTGCCACATTTTGATTTATCTAGAGAGACACAGCATTGAGATTGAGTTTCAGACCAATCTAGCAAAGGCAGAGGAAAATGCATTCTACTGTTCTTGATCTACTTTTTAAAGAGATAATATCTAGAGGATCTGTTTTCTTACCAATACACTTTGAAATTCCAGACCATTTTCCCTCAGTACATGTGGCTGCACCCCACCAACCCCTGGTAGAGGGTTTGAACCTTTCATTGCAGGAATAATATATCTTGCTGTTCCTGGGATCAACATTCCTCTCATCTGACTGAACTATGAATCCATTCTCCACAGTCGGGTTGATACATGCTCCCTCTATTTCTGGGGGAGACAATGACATGAAACATTATAGAACACATTGTGACACATTATAGAACACATTGTGACACATTATAGAACACATTGTGACACATTATAGAACACATTGTGACACATTATAGAACTCATTGTGACACATTATAGAACACATTGTGACACATTGTGACACATTCGTGGTTTTAAATCCAGCTCTACAGCTTTGACGCTGAATTCCTCCCAATTGACCCCGCTGCCAGTGGTAGGGAGATCTCACAAGAGGGTCACGTGAATCAACACAGGTTATCACTACAATGATAGAGATGTTTAGTGTTAGCATGAACCATACCTGTACAGTAATACACAGTGACTCATCTGTCTATACCTCAATATACCCTCAATATGATGCATACTCCTTCTATTTCTGGGAGAAACAATTGCATGAAACATTACAGAAGGCATTGTGACACATCGTGCAGTTAACTGTTTACAGAGCACTTAGAGGACCTGCTCTACAATATCATGACATTTTGGCCACACTGTCAGTTTGGTAAAAGCACTGAACGGAGCAATATCTGGAAAACCAATGGAAGCAAAGTTGGTGAATGTTATGGCCGTTACCAATTCCACATCAAATCCCCAATAGGTTAAAATCTGATGTTTGATCTTTCCAGTAGCCTTTAAACCCTCTGGATCAGTGACTTGAGTCACATCCTCAGAGTTTTAGATGATTGAAGTATAAATGTCACCCTACCTTTACAGCCAAGTGTCCTGGTCCAGCCATTTGTCGTACAGGTAGCAGCAGGTCTGGTAGTGCTGTCCAATAGTTCATAATTCCTCTTACATTCATAAGTGAGCTGTTCATTGTATTTGTATCTTGTTTTAGGGTCGTCAATCACAGCATTTGGGATATCTGGCTTGTCACATGTTATCTCTGAAAGACAAACAACGTAATTCTGATGCAGTCCAAACTAACATCCGACCACAAGGTAATCAAACCATAGTGGTATTCAAAGATGGCGTCCTTCAAAATACTGCACCTTCACAGAGTGGGTGTGGAGTCCAGGAGCCATCACTTGTGCATGTGGCAACACCCCTGGCATTTGTGGTTTTAAATCCGGATTTACAGCTGTAACTGTGAGTTTCTCCCAATTGACCCCGCTGCCAGCGGTAGGGAGAACTCACAAGAGGGTCACGTGGATCATCACAGGTTATCGCTACAATGATAGAGATGTTTAGTGTCAGCATGAACCATACCTGTACAGTAATACACAGTGACTCATCTGTCTATACCTCAATATACCCTCAATATATCATACTACAATATACTCTCCAGTATAAACATACGTTCACAATCTGTAGAAGATGACCACTTTCCGTCCTCTTTGCATGTTACTATCTGTTCGGATTTTTTGCTAAAGATCCAGAATCCTGAGGCACAGGTCACCGTCACCCTTTCATCAGGCAAGAACAGATTTCTGCCAGCAGGTGTGTAACTGATTCCTCTTGTTGGTGGCAATGATAATGAACATTTCACTTCTGCATTTTAGAAACAAAAACATTGAAAAACATTATGTTAGTAGCTTGATAAAATATGTTAAAATGATAAAAATATAAATTTAAAGTTCAAAACATGAGTTACCCAGCCGACTTAAAATGTCAAGTTGCATTCACTTGATTCCTGAGATGATCAGATCCTTACCTTCACACTCTGGTGTTGGACTCCATATGGCTCTGTTGACCATTTTAGTGCATCGAGGGGCTCTTCCCTGAGACTTCATATACCTCGGATTACAGCTGTATCTCAGTATGTCATCTTCATTGTAATCTTCCTTTGGGGGCCCGGTCACTGCACCATTAGCTATTTCTGGAGCATAGCATTTAATCACTGTGAATTGAATAAGCACAGAATTAAACAGATGATTGGTCATCATGATCAGAAACAACAATGTGTGACAATACGAATTGTTGATTCAAATATGGTATAAGCATTGTGAGGGATTATTTTTAATATTACACTTTTGAGTTGATGACGGTCATTCAAATCTGGATTTTAAAAAACACTACATATAATCACTGATCATTCTATACGGTCATTATATATTCTTCCCCAATATGGGATCATGTTGTGATTTGTTTTGTATGCTAGTGGGACATTGCCCTGTTGTGTATGACGATGTCATAGTGCCTGGTGGTGTACACTACATGGCCAAAGGTATGTGGACACCTGCTCGTCGAACATCTCATTCCAAAATCATGTGCATTAATATGTGGTTGGTCCCCGCTTTGCTGCTATAACAGCCTCCACTCTTCTGGGAAGGCTTTCCACTAGTTGTTGGAACATTACTGCCGGGACTTGCTTCCATTCAGCCATGAGCATTTGTGAGGTCGGGCACTGATGTTGGGCGATTAGGCCTGGATGGCAGGTGTGTTGCAATTCATCCCGAAGGTGTCCGATGGGGTTGAGTTCAGGGCTCTGTGCAGGCCAGTCAAGTTCTTTCACACCGATCTCGACAGACCATTTCTGTATGGACCTCGCTTTGTGCACAGGTGCAATGTCAAACAGGAAAGGGCCTTCCCCACACTGTTGCCACAAAGTTGGAAGCACAGAATCGTCTAGAATGTCATTGTATGCTGTTGCGTTAAGATTTCCCTTCAGTGGGGGGCCTAGCCCGAACCATGAAAGATACGGGCTTTTAACAATTGCATTTTCAACTTCAGGTGGAGGATCACATGGAACGCCTTACACTTCAGGAGAATAAAATATTGATGTAAGATTAGTGGGCAGAAAACATAAACACAGTACAGATACAGAACAACTACCTGTCTATTTACATAATATCATATGGGTTTCTGCACCATCGAGAGCATCCTGACCGGTTGCATCACTGCCTGGTATGGCAACTGCTCGGCATTTGACCGTAAGGCGCTACAGAGTGTAGTGCCTCCTGCCGTCATATCTAAGCCAATATGACAACAATCTCTATGAAAATGTGCAAATCAACTTCATTGGAGGTAAACAACACATTCCCCATCTCTTGTCATGAGCCATCCGGCTGTTACCGAGAACCACATACCGGATTTTTAACAGGGTCATTAGCAATTATGACTCGTTTCAGGAAACTAGTTGTATGTCGTGGGTCACTACTTCACAGGAGAGCCATTTGAACGTAAACTAAAAAAATAATAATAATGCTTTTTTGGCAGAAATGCCTTCTGGAACATGTGAACTTTCATGTGCCTTAATAACAAACTTGTATGCCATCTGTAAATACGAATACAATTGTTAAAAATACGAGCCTAGTTGGTTAAGCCACAGAAAAAGACAGCAACCTTCCCACTAGCCATGATTGGCTGAGATAATGAGTGGGCTGGACATGCCGAGAGAGGAGAGAGGATTGGTCTGCCATATCGAAGGCTTCTGTCTATTTGAGCTGGTCAGTGTGTGTAGGTAATCCTGTCTAACGCAGCTTTTAAAAACATTTATCGTGTAGTGGAGCTGCATTAGTGTTGCTCTCCACTTTCTGGAGGATCGAGTTTTGAAATAAGTGGAATTAGAGAATGATAGCTAAAGAGATGGAGAAAAAAAACCTGTCTCCGGATTACATCTTCAAACAAAGGGCAACCGTGCATGGCATCCGTGACAGGGAGACAAGTCCATCATGCATGATTATGTATGCAGGTAAGATAGCCTAGCTAGCTACATTTTCATATATTACATGTTTCTAATTCTGACAGAAAATAGTTTCATTTCAAGTTAAAGTGTACTGTTAAGTAGCTAGCTAATGTTACCTGGCTGGCTCGCTTAATAACGTTACGTGTATGATGTTATTATTCGTATCTCAGAGACGTTTACTTGGCTAGTTAGAGCCTAATGTTAGCTAGCTAACATTGAACCTGGTTGTTTAGCTACCACAACCAGCATATTCATGCAAGGGTTGTTTAACTAGCTAATGTTAGCTGTCTGGCTTGCTAGCTAACGTTACGTGTATGATGTTATTATTCGTTTCTCAGATCCATTTGCTTGGCTAGTTAGAGCCTAATGTTAGCTAGCTAACATTAAACCTGGTTGGGTAGCTACCACTACCAGCAGATTCATGCAAGGATGTACCTCAAACCCCCAAGGTGCCTTATTGCTATTAATAACTGGTTACCAACGTAATTACAACCCGTGGTATACAGTCTGATATACCACGGCTTGCTATCTGTCTCATGTTGTACCGATCATCAATTCTGTTGAATTGTCAACTAGACTAAATTCTTATTAGGAAGATTTTGCCGTTCAGAATGCCATGTTTATGACTGTTGATGTTCACAGGAATCTCCAAATGCTATGTTGAACGAGCACCATGGATGAAGGAGGGGGAGGAAAACTGACTGCTTCTCTCTACCACACCTTCACCAAGTCATACAATATTTGCCTCATGAACAATTGTAACATCTTCTGAAATAAATACAGAATTATTGTAGTTAATTCTGTTTCTAATGTTTTTTATGCTGGATGTGAGTAATGTGGCAAGTCTAGCTCATTTCATTCCGATCTCCTCTGCATTTTTGTAGCCATTTGCTACAGCCTGTCAACTATGCCTCTGCCTATCCCTGTTCTCTCCTCTCTGCACAGGCTACACAAACGCACCACACCGCGTGGCTGCTGCCTCTCTAACCTGGTGGTCCCTGCACGCACCACCCACGTGGAGTTCCAGGTCGCAGGCAGCGTCTGGAACTGCCGTTCTGCTGCCAACAAAGCTGACTTCATCCCAGCCTATGCCAACCTCCAGTCCCTCGACTTCCTGGCGCTGACGGAAACATGGATCACCACTGAAAACACTGCTACTCCTACTGCTCTCTCCTCGTCTGACCATGTGTTCTCGCATACCCCGAGAGCATCTGGTCAGAGGGGTGGTGGTACAGGAATCCACATCTCTCCCAAGTGGACATTCTCAATTTTTCCCCTAACCCATCTGTCTATCTCCTCATTTGAATTCCATGCTGTCACAGTCACTAGCCCATTTAAGCTTAATATCCTTGTCATCTATCGCCCTCCAGGTTCCCTTGGAGAGTTCATCAATGAGCTTGACGCCTTGATAAGTTCCTTCCCTGAGGATGGCTCACCCCTCACAGTTTTGGGGGATTTCAACCTCCCTATGTCCACATTTGACTCATTTCTCTCTGCCTCCTTCTTTCCACTCCTCTCCTCTTTTGACCTCACCCCCTCACCGTCCCCCCCTACTCACAAGGCAGGCAATACGCTTGACCTCATCTTCACTAGATGCTGCTCCTCTACTAATCTCACTGCAACTCCCCTCCATGTCTCCGACCACTACTTTGTTTCCTTTTCTCTCTCGCTCTCCTCCCACACTACTCACTCTGCCCCTACACAGATGGTAATGCGCCGCCGCAACCTTCGCTCTCTCTCTCCCACTACTCTCTCCTCTTCCATCCTATCATCTCTTCCCTCTGCTCAATCCTTCTCCCTCCAATCTCCTGATTCTGCCTCCTCAACCCTCCTCTCCTCCCTTTCTGCATCCTTTGACTCTCTGTGTCCCCTATCCTCCCGGCCGGCTCGGTCCTCCCCTCCAGCTCCGTGGCTTGATGACTCATTGCGAGCTCACAGAACAGAGCTCCGGGCAGCGGAGCGGAAATGGAAGAAAACTAAACTCCCTGCCGACCTGGCATCTTTTCACTCCCTCCTCTCTACATTTTCTTCATCTGTTTCTGCTGCTAAGGCCACCTTCTACCACTCTAAATTCCAAGCATCTGCCTCTAACCCTAGGAAGCTCTTTGCCACATTTTCCTCCCTCCTGAATCCCCCCCCCCCCCCCCCCCTCCCTCCTCTCTCTCTGTGGATGACTTCGTCAACCACTTTGAAAAGAAGGTTGACGACATCCGATCCTCGTTTGTTAAGTCTAATGACACTGCTGGTCCTGCTCACACTGCCCTACCCTATGCTTTGACTTCTTTCTCCCCTCTCTCTCCAGATAAAATCCTGCGACTTGTGACCGCAGGCCGCCCAACAACCTGCCCGCTTGACCCCATCCCCTCCTCCCTTCTCCAGACCATCTCCGGTGACCTTCTCCCCTACCTCACCTCGCTGATCAACTCATCCTTGACCGCTGGCCATGTCCCTTCCGTCTTCAAGAGAGCGAGAGTTGCTCCCCTTCTCAAAAAACCAACACTCGACCCCACTGATGTCAACAACTACAGACCAGTATCCCTTCTTTCTTTTCTTTCCAAAACTATTGAGCGTGCCGTCTTTAGCCAACTCTCTTGCTATCTCTCTCAGAATGACCTTCTTGATCCAAACCAATCAGGTTTCAGGACTGGTCATTCAACTGAGACTGCTCTTCTCTGTGTCACGGAGACTCTCCGCACTGCTAAAGCTAACTCTCTCTCCTCTGCTCTTGTCCTTCTAGACCTGTCTGCTGCCTTTGATACTGTGAACCATCAGATCCTCCTCTCCACCCTCTCCGAGCTGGGCATCTCCGGCGCGGCTCACTCCTGGATTGCGTCCTACCTGACCGGTCGCTCCTACCAAGTGGCGTGGCGAGAAGCTGTCTCCGCACCACGTGCTCTCACCACTGGTGTCCCCCAGGGCTCAGTTCTAGGCCCTCTCCTTTTCTCCCTATACACCAAGTCACTTGGCTCTGTCATATCCTCACATGGCCTTTCCTATCATTGCTACGCTGACGATACACAACTAATCTTCTCCTTTCCCCCTTCTGATAACCAGGTGGCGAATCGCATCTCTGCATGTCTGGCAGACATATCAGTATGGATGACGGATCACCACCTCAAGCTGAACCCTGGCAAGACGGAGCTGCTCTTCCTCCCGGGGAACGACTGCCCGTTCCATGATCTCGCCATCACGGTTGACAACTCCGCTGTGTCCTCCTCCCAGAGTGCGAAGAGCCTAGGCGTGACCCTGGACAACACCCTGTCGTTCTCCGCCAACATCAAGGCGGTGACCCGCTCCTGCAGGTTCATGCTCTACAACATTCGGAGAGTACGACCCTGCCTTACACAGGAAGCGGCACAGGTCCTAATCCAGGCACTTGTCATCTCCCGTCTGGACTACTGCAACTCGCTGTTGGCTGGCCTAACTGCCTGTGCCATTAAACCCCTACAACTCATCCAGAATGACGCAGCCCGTCTGGTGTTCAACCTTCCCAAGTTCTCTCACGTCACCCCCCTCCTCCGCACACTCCACTGGCTTCCAGTTGAAGCTCGCATCCGCTACAAGACCATGGTGCTTGCCTATGGAGCAGTGAGGGGAACGGCACCTCTGTACCTTCAGGCTCTGATCAGTCCCTACACCCAAACGAGGGCATTGCGTTCATCCACCTCTGGCCTGCTGGCTCCCCTTCCTCTGCGGAAGCATAGCTCCCGCTCAGCCCAGTCAAAACTGTTCGCTGCTCTGGCACCCCAATGGTGGAACAAGCTCCCTCACGACGCCAGGACAGCGGAGTCACTCACCACCTTCCGGAGACATTTGAAACCCCACCTCTTTAAGGAATACCTGGGATAGGATAAAGTAATCCTTCTAACCCCCCCCCCCCCCCCCAAATTGTAAACTGGTTATCCCACTGGCTATAGGGTGAACGCACCAATTTGTGAGTCGCTCTGGCTAAGAGCGTCTGCTAAATGACGTTAATGTGCCCTTGAGCAAGGCACTTAACCCTAATTGCTCCTGTAAGTCGCTCTGGATAAGAGCGTCTGCTAAATGACTAAAATGTAAATGTAAATGTATAGTATAGTGTATTGATTTGGAATGTTTATTAAATATCTATTCTGTCACAACTCACTTTTATTATTTTATGTTGCCTTTTTTAATGTTTGCTAAAATTATGTATGTTTTGAACTGTTACTTTTTACATGCTGAAACAGTCTCATTAGTTTTGCGCTAGACTATGATCAGTAAACAGTCTCATTAGTTTTGGGCTAGACTATGATCAGTAAACAGTCTCATTAGTTTTGGGCTAGACTATGATCAGTAAACAGTCTCATTAGTTTTGGGCTAGACTATGATCAGTAAACAGTCTCATTAGTTTTGGACTAGACTATGATCAGTAAACAGTCTCATTAGTTTTGGGCTAGACTACGATCAGTAAATGTCTACTACCCGACTTAAAAAGTTGTTGATGAATGAAATTAGCACCGTTTCAGAACATGGACAATGTCAAAGAATAAGCAGGCAAATGTACAGCCTGTCAATGACCAAATAAACGGTGCAGAGGTAGCCTTAAGATTACATTAGATATTTGCATTTTATTTAAATGTTTTACATTTTAGTCATTTAGCAGACGCTCTTATCCAGAGCGACTTACAGTTAGTGAGTGCATTTTTTTTTTTTTCATACTTTATATACTGGACAGAGGGCTAGCCAGCTATTCTCAAAACATTGGATTACCAACTTGAGCGATGACGTCTAAGTTTGCAGCACATGGATGTATATACACTGAACAAAAATATAAATGGAATATGTAAAGTATGAAAATGTATGCACTCACTACTGTTAAGTCGCTCTGGATAAGAGCGTCTGCTAAAATACTTAAATGTAAAATGTAAAGTGTTGGTCTCATATTTCATGAGCTGGTCATACCTGTACAGTAATTCACAGTGACATACCTGTCTATACCCCAATATACCCTCAATATATCATACTACAATATACTCTCCAGTATAAACATACGTTCACAATCTGTAGAAGATGACCACTTTCCGTCCTCTTTGCATGTTACTGTATGTTCGGATGTTTTGCTAAAGATCCTGAGGCACAGGTCACCGTCACCCTTTCATCCTTTCATCAGGCAAGAACAGATTTCTGCCAGCAGGGGTGTAACTGGTTCCTCTTGTTGGTGTCAATGATAATGAACATTTCACTTCTGCATTTTAGAAACAAAAACATAGAAAAACATTATGTTAGTAGCTTGATAAAATATGTTAAAATTTTAAAAATATAAATGTAAAGTTCAAAACATGAGTTAACCAGCCGACTTAAAATGTCAAGTTGCATTCACTTGATTCCTGAGATGATCAGATCCTTACCTTCACACTCTGGTGTTGGACTCCATATGGCTCTGTTGACCATTTTAGTGCATCGAGGGGCTCTTCCCTGAGACTTCATATACCTCGGATTACATACCCATTGGAAACGTTGAGTAGAGTCATCATAGATTTAGTGTAAAATCTGTCACAGCAGCCCATTTTCAAGTTGGCCACCATTCATTTCAATGTGGAGGAACTGAATTGATTTTTCAATGCCATAAAGGAATAGATATTGGTGTAATAAGAGCAACAAAGGCTGAAAATGTCTGTTACTGTGAGGAAAATGCTAAAAGATAGCCCAGAGATGTGAGTTATAGTATATGCATTTAACAAAATATTCCCAGAGCATCTGCTAAATTACTAAAATGTAAATGTAGAGAAATAATGGTAGAAAAATAACATGACAAAAGGCTGAAAATAAGGTCTGAGATTAAGACGGGTTTAGAAGATCTTTTACTTTTTCATCTATGAGATAATATCAGTCATTTAACATGACCTTTATGCTTTTCTTTTCAATACATAAAGGCTTACAAATCACACAATATTACGTTAGCTGATGAAGATTCTCTCATAGAGGAAAACGTATAACATTTTCTAAGCCTGTATTTACCAAATAAGTTGTTTTCGTTGATTAACAAAAAACCTACAAAGACGCCGCTCATTACCCCATAGGCTGTCGAACGAACCGCTACAAAAAGACACCATTACTATTTCGCTCTATAGCTGGGGCAGGGAGCTGGCTGGATGTAGTGGCGCCCCCTGGTGGCCTTGACTGTGGGCGGGGGTCGACCCCCGGTGGGTTTCCCCAGCCCGTGCAGGGAGCTGTCTGAATGTAGTGGTGCTCCCTGGTGGCCATAGGCGGGTGGTTAGGACCCCTCTGGGGATTGGCCCCCCCTCACTTGGCCCTCTCCCCCCATTTCCTTCGGGCAGGGAGCTGGCTGGATGAAGTGGCCACGGGCGGGGGTCGGCCCCCCCATGTCCGGAGGTCAGCTCCTGATCTCTGGGCCGGCCCCAGCCCTCTCTAGGTGTATTTAGTGGCACCCCCTGGTGGCCACAGGCGGGGGTCGGGCCCTCTCCGGTGGTCGGCCCACCAACATCCGTCTCTGGCAGTCTCCCCGCTCTTCATGGTGTAGAGAGCAGCGTGGATGTAGTGGCGCCACCTGGTGGTCAGGGGCAGGGGGTCGGCCCCCCTCTCCTTGGGTAGGCCCCATCCCTCTCTGGCCCTCTCCCCCGATCTCCCTAATGCAGGGAGCTGGCTGGATGGAGTGGCGCCCCCTTGCGGCCTTGGCAGTGGGCGGAGAAGTTTACTAATTGTTGGTAACAGGCTGATTGGTTGGGTATTTGAGCCAGTAAAAGTGGCTTTACTATTCTTGGGTAGTGGAATTACTTTTGCTTCCTTCAGGCCTGAGGGCACACACTTTTTAGTAGGCTTAGATTGAAGATATGGCAAATAGGAGTGGCAATTTCGTCCGCCATTATCCTCAGTAATATTCCATCCAAGTTGTCAGACCCCGGTGGCTTGTCATTGTTGATAGAAAACAATTGCTTTTTCACCTCATCCACTCTCACCTTACGGAATTCAAAATTACAACGCTTTCATAATTTGATCAGTTATACTTGGATATGTTGTGTCAGCGCTTGTTGCTGTCATGCCTTAGTTGGTAATGTTGCCAATGAAAAAGTCATTAAAGTGGTTGGCAATATCAGTGCGTTTTGTGATGAATGAGCCATCTGATTCAATGAATGATGGAGCTGAGTTTGCCTTTTTCCCCAAAATGTCATTTAAGGTGCTCCAAAGCTTTTTTACTATCATTCTATATATCATTTATATTTGTTTCATAGTATAGTTTCTTCTTCTTTTTATTCAGTTTAGTCACTGGATTTCTCAATTTGTAATACGTTTGCCAATTGGTTGTGCAGCCAGACATATTTGCCATTCCTTTTGCCTCATCCCTCTCAACCATACAATTTTTCAGTTCCTCATTAATCCACGTGGATTTAACAGTTTTTCAGTCATTTTCTTAATTGGTGCATGTTAATTATTAACTGGAATAAGCAATTTCATAAATGTGTGAAGTGCAGCTTCTGGTTGCTCCTCATTACACACCACAGACCAGCAAATATGTGTTACATCATCAACATAGAATCACTACAAAACGTATTGTATGAGCTCTTATGCACTATATTAGGCCCAGCCTTTGGAAGTTTTCCTAGATATGTCTACTATATTGTGATCACTACATCCGATGGTTTTGGATACTGCTTTAAAGCAAACTTTTTGCAACATTAATAAAGATATGATCAATACATATTGATGATTTTACAATGTGCTGGACTTTACAGTGTCCTGCTATGAAAAGTATGTATACAGCCTTATTCAAAAATGTATTATTATTATTTATATTATTATTATTATTATAGATTTTTGTCAATCTAAACACAATACCCCACAAGCAAAAACATGTTTTTAGAAATTGTTGCAAATGTATAAAAAATATGAAACTGAAATATCACATTTACATAAGTATTCAGACCCTTTTCAGTACTTTGTTGAAGCACCTTTGACAGCGGTTACAGCCTCGAGTCTTCTTGGGTATGACACTACAAGCTTGGAACGCCTGTTTTTGGGGAGTTTCTTCCATTCCTCTCTGCAGATCCTCTCAAGCTCTGTCAGGTTGGATGGGGAGCGTCGCTGTACAGCTATTTTCATGTCTCTCCAGAGATGTTTGATCGGGTTTAAGTCTGGCCTCTGGCTGGGCCACTCAAGGACATTCAGAGACTTTACATTTGTACATTTTAGTCATTTAGCAGACACTCTTATCCAGAGTGACTTACAATTAGTGAGTGCATAAATTTTTCATACAGACTTGTCCCAAAGCCACTCCTGCGTTGTCTTGGCTGTTGCTTAGGGTTGTTGTCCTGTTGGAAGGTGTACCTTCGCCCCAGTCTAAGGTCCTGAGTGCTCTGGAGCAGGTTTTCATCAAGGATCTCTCTGTACCTTGCTCCGTTCATCTTTCCCTCGATCCTGACTAGTCTCCCAGTCCCTGCCGCAGAAAAACATCCCCACAGCATGATGCTGCCACCACCATGCTTCACCATAGGGATGGTGACAGGTTTCTTCCATATGTGACGCTTGGCATTCAGGGCAAAGAGTTCAATCTTGGTTTCATCAGACCAGATAATCCTGTTTCTCATGGTCTGAGAGTCCTTTAGGCGCCTTTTGGCAAACTCCAAGCGGGCTGTCATGTGCCTTTTACTGAGCTTTGGCTTCCATCTGGCCACTCTACCATAAAGGCCTGATTGGTGGAGTGATACAGAGATGGTTGTCCTTATGGAAGGTTCTCCCATCTCCACAGTGGAACTCTGGAGCTCTGTCAGAGTGACCATCGGGTTCTTGGTCACCTCCCTGACCAAGGCCCTTCTCCCCCTGTTGCTCAGTTTGTCCGGGCCAGATCTAGGAAGAGTCTTGATGGTTTCAAACTTCTTCAATTTAAGAATGATGGAGGCCGCTGTGTTCTTGGAGAGTTTCAATGCTGCAGAAATGTTTTGGTACCCTTCCCCAGAGCTGTGCTCGACACAATCCTGTCTCGGAGCTCTACAGACAATTCCTTCAACATCATGGCTTGGTCTTTGCTCTGACATGCACTGTCAACTGTGGGACCTTTATATAGACAGGTGTGTGCCTTTCCAAATCATGTCCAGTCAATTGAATGTACCACAGGTGGACTCCAATCAAGTTGTAGAAACATTTCAAGGATGATCAATGGGAACAGGATATACCTGGGCTCAATAAAAAAAGAAAATATATATACATTTGCTAAAATAAAAAAAACAGAGTTTACTTTGTCATTATGGGGTATTGTGTGTAGACGTAACAAAATGTCGAAAAATTGAACGGGTCTGAATACTTTCCGAATGCACTGTACATTGCAAAATGAATGGATTAACATAAAAGGCATCAATCTTAAGTTACAAGGCAATATTGACATTACAAGGCGTTATTCTAGGCAAGATCAGAGAGACCAATGCTTGTGCCATGGTGCGTAGATCATGGGAGAGGGAGAGAGATAGAAAGAGTGAGAGTGAGAGTGTATCTCACCAGCACAGGTCAGGAGCAAATAACAAAGAGACAATGAATCTAAGACCCTTTATAACATCTGAATTATTTGGATTCAAAATCGGAGTTGTTGACCAATAGTATTACTGTAAAATTAACCTCCAATCAAATATCAAACCTAGATGATGTAATGACAACAGAACCTCTGCTTCTCAGAGGTGAGACAGATAGGGGTTTGAGGAATCAACACAGAGAATGCTGAATTCCTGAGAAGACAATAAAACCTTTTGCATAGAGTGTTGATAAGAGACTTCGGGGGCTGGGTCGCCCTATACCTCTCAGCCCCATTATCCCTTCAGGCAAAGCGTGAATACAGGACTAAGATTGAATCCTACTACACCGGCTCTGAAGCTCGTCGGATATGGCACGGCTTGCAAACTATCACGGATTACAAAGAGAAACCCAGCCGTGAGCTGCTAAGTTTCGAGGCAAGCAACACTGAACCATGCATGAGAGCACCAGCTGTTCTGGACGACTGTGCATTTGTGCTCTCCGTAGCTGATGTGAGTAAGACCTTTAAACAGGTTAACATTCAGACTGATTACCAGGACGCGTACTCAGATCATGAGCTGACCAGCTGGCAAGATCTTCACTGATATTTTCAACCTCTCCCTGACCCAGTTTGTAATACACTATATATACAAAGTATGTGGGCACCGCTTCAAATTAGTGGATTTGAATATTTCACCAACACCCGTTGCTGATAGGTGTATAGAATCGAGCACACAGCCATGCAATCTCCATAGACAAACATTGGCAGTAGAATGGCCTTACTGAAGAGCTCAGTGACTTTTAACGTTGCACCGTCATAGGATGCCACCTTTCCAACTAGTCAGTTCGTCACATTTCTGGCCTGCTAGAGCGGCCTCAGTCAACTGTAAGTGCTCTTATTGTGAAGTGGAAATGTCTAGGAGCAACAACGGCTCAGCCGGTAGGCCACACAAGCTCAAAAAACATAAAAA